ATATGGAATATCTCTTTATTTATTTTTTTATATCTTTCAACAGAAATTTGTAGTTTTCCTTATATAAATTTATATATATTTTATTACATTTATACCTAAGTATTTTCTTTTTTGAGTGCTAATGTAAATGGTATTGTTTTTAATTTCAAATACACTTATTCATTGCTAGTATAAAGGAAAACAATTTACTTTTGAATATTAAACTTGTATCCTGTAATCATGCTATAATCATTTTTTAGTTTCTGAGGGTTTTTTTGGGGTTTTTTTTTGGGTCACCTCATGTATTCCATACATGGATGATCATTTTCCTTCCCATTTTATTTCATTTGTCTTATTGCATTAGTTAGGATGCAATGAAACCCAGTACAATGTTAAAAAGTAGTGGTGAGAGGAGACATCCTTGCCTTGTTCCTGATCTTTGTAGAAAAGCTTTGCGTATCTCACCATGAAGTATGATGTTAGCTGTAGGGTTTTTGTAAATGATGTTTATCAAGATGAGGAAGTTCCCTTCTATCTCTAGTGTGTGCAAAATGTTTTCTCCATGATTAGGTATTAGATTTAATAATGCTTTTTCTGCATCTATTGATAAGCTTATGTGATTTTTCTTGTTTAGTCAATTGATGTGATGAATTACATTAGTTGATTTTCAAATGTTGAGCCAGTCTTGAATACCTGGAATAAAATCCACTTGATCATGGTGTATAATTGTTTTTACACATTATTAGATTTTATAATTTGTGGAGGAATTTTTTAAAAAAAACATATTTTTATTGATTTCAGAGAGAAAGGGAGAGGGAGCGAGAGATAGAAACATCAATGATGAGAGAGAATCATTGATTTGCTGCCTCCTGCATGCCCCCTACTGGGGATCAAGCCTGCAAGTGTGACCTCCTGGTTCATAGGTCAATGCTCAACCACTAAGCCACACTAGCCAGGCTTTTAGAGGATTTTTGTATCTGTGTTTCTGGTCTGTGTGTGTGCATGTGTGTCTGTGTGTGTGTGTGTGTGTGGTCTTTGTCTGGTTTTGGTATTAGGGTAAGGGTAGACATATAGAATATGTGAAGAAAAACTTCTTCTATCACGTGAAAGAGATTTTAGAGAATTGCTATAATTTTTTCCTTAAGTATTTGATAAATTTAAGTAGTTAACCCATCTGGACATAGTGCTTTATGTTTTACAAGATGATTAATTATTAATTCAGTTTCTCTATAGATATAGGCTTGTATGCAGTGTCTAATCCTGTTAGAGTTTTGGCAAACTGTCTTTTGAGGAATTGATCTGTTTTCTCTCTATCATAAAATTTCTGAGCATAGAATTATTCATAATATTATTTTATTATCCTTTTAATGTCCATGGGATATTTTGTGATGTCCCCTCTTTCGTTTGTCTTCTCTCTTTAGCTCTTAATTAGCCTTGCTAGAGACTTAACAATTTTATTTCTCTTTTCAAAGAAACAATTTTGTTGATTTTCTCTATTGATTTCCTATATTCAGTTTCATTGACTTCTGCTCTAATATTTATTATTTTTTCTTCTGCTTACTTTATATTTAATTTGCTCTTACTTTTAGTTTCCTAAGGTGAATGTTAGACTTGATTTTCAATCTTTTATTTTCCATTCTAATATATACATTCAGTGCTATAAATTTCCATTTAAGCACTACTTTCACTACTTCCCACAAGCTTTATGTTGTATTTTTGTTTTCATTTATTTAAATGTATTTAAAATATTCTCTGGAGATTTCTTCTTTGACCCATATGTTACTTAAAAGCATGTTTAATCTCAATGTATTTGGGATTTTCCAGTTATATTTCTGATATTGGTTTCTACTTTAACTTCATTATGGTTTGAGAACAGACATTAAATTATTTTTTACTTTGTTAACATGTGTTTTATGATGCAGAATGTGGTGTATCTTGGTGAGTGTTACATGATAATTTGAGCAGAATGTGTATTCTGTTGTTGCTGAGTGAAGTAGTCTATAGTTGTCAATTATATCCACTTGGTGTTGTTGAGGCAAACTATATGATGACTGATTTTCTGCTTGTTGAAACTGTCCATTTCTGATACAAAGGCGTTAAACTCTACAACAATAATAGTGGATTTATCTACATCTCCTTGCAGTTCTATCAGGTTTTTTTCTCATGTATTTTGACACTGGTGTTAGGTGCATACCTATTAAAGATTGTTGTCTTCTTTGAGAATGAATCCCTTTATCATTATTTAATGCCCTATTTATCCCTAATAACCATCCTTGCACTGAAGTTTGAACTGTCTAAAGTTAGTATAGATACTCCCACTTTCTTTTGATTACTGTCAGTGTACTATATCTTTTTCCATCCTTTTACCTTCAATCTATATGTATCTGTATAGTTAAAGTGGGTTTATCTTTGACAACATATTATATTTGGATCTTCTTTTCTGATCCACTCTTTTACTTAGTATATTTAAGCCATTGATGTTTAAAGTCAATATTGAGATAATTAGAAAATCAACCATATTTGTTACTGTTTTTTATTTATCACCCTTATTCTTTGTTCTTATTTTTGTGTTCCACACTTTTTTCTTTCTTTTGTGAATTGAGGATTTTATATGATATAAATTTTCCTCCTTTCTTAGTATATCTTATTTTACTCTTTTTTAGTAATTGCCTTAGAGTTTAAAATGTACATTTATAAGCAATCCAACTATAAAACTGATTTGGGGTACCTTTTTACTTTTAAAAGTTATTTTCTCTGACTGCCTCAAATAGAAGGTTTAATGACTATAACTTGCCTCTATAATATAAAAATAAATTTGGCTCAAAATAATATTTTCAAATTCATAAACATATTAGGGAGGTTAAGGAAAAGGCAACATGAGAGGTAGAAATTTAGCAGGGAACACCTGAGAAACACCTGTATGCACTCATAATTTTGCAAAAATGATGGAATTGTTCAAGATATAATAAAATGTTGTCCAACTTGTGTCTCACTTGCCTTACAATCTTAAAGAAGCAGCCAAAAAATATATGAACATATGGGGCTTCCAAAATGTGAGGAAGTTGGTTTATTCACTCACTTGGCAAATGATTATTGAGAGTCTAATAGTATAAGAAATACTTTTCTTATAGTCATTATAATTTAAGAATTTAAAGGCTTCTATAAAATCATTTATCTAAATATGTTCAGTTTTTTAATTTAAAAATGGACAAGAGATGAAAGGAGAGAGAGAGAGAGAGAGAGAGAGAGAGAGAGAGAGAAGTTGGGGTGGAGGAAGGGGGAAGCATTGCTCAAAAATACAAAATAAATAAGCCATAGAAGAAGAATGAGGAGAAGGGTAGAGGAGAAACTTTGAAGTTAGGGTCTAGCAATCTGTGTTTTAATTGATCCCCAATATGATTCTCATGTACGTGAAAGTTTGAGAAAGATTGATTAAAATTAAGGAGAAAACAAAATAGATATGTTGGCAAATTTAGATGATTTGCTAACTTTGACAAAAGAACATTAAAGTAATGAAGGAAAACGACAACTGGAAAAAATAAAAATTACATGCTTCAGGTCCCTGTGTGTAAAAAAACACACAAAACACCTTGCTTTTTTTTAAGATAAAAGAATAAGAGTGTTGAGATATATATATATCTATACATCTATATATAGATATATATATATATGAAAATTTTAATTATAATAAATGATCACATAAAGAAGAAGGGTAGAAAAAGAATGGAGAACAATTTATTAACCACATGCTATGTACCAGACATTCACATGCATTATCCCTTTAATCTTCACAACCCTGTAGTCAATGGATGAGGACAGTGATACCTGCTCACCCAACCTTATGGTACCTCCGCATACAACCTTATGGGGACTCCATATACATGGACTTTTATACCATCATCTGAATTTCAAATGTACTCATGATTATCTAATAGCTTATCTGTGGAAAGAAAATATTACAGAATGCCTTTCAAGATATCATGCTATAAATTGGGGATGCTCATTATTAGTATTAAAGTGAAATCCCATATAGCATTATTTGAAATAGCCTAAATTTGGATTTTAGTGCTTATTCATTATTTCCAGTCTCCAGCAGGTTGATATAGGTCATTTCATTAATGAATAATAATACAACTCCCACATTTGTTCCACACTTGATTATTTTAGACTCATTTATAGTGTGATGGTGGGATTTGCTGTGCTTAAAATTTCCTTGGCAGCAAGTCATAAAAACTCAATGTAAATTAATTAAAATGAAAGGAGAATCTACTGAAAGATCATGAACAAACCCAGATGATTCAGGTAGGTGGAAAAAGCAGAAGCAAACCCTGAGCCAAGGAGTTGGGTACAAGTAATTTATGGAAAAACACTTCCAAGAGAAACCAATGAGAAGGTGGGGACAGAACAGGGGAGCAGTTCATCAAAAGTGTGATTTCATGTGAAGCCCAGATTCAGACTGGTCCTTCAGGAAGCTGTGAAGTGTAAATTCTTCCTCAGAATTTGTTCCCCATCTATGAAAAGATTTGAGCTTTTGTATCCTCCCATCATTCAGGCTTTGACTATACCAGGCGTCATGTGCTTTAACTGTGTTTTCCTCAAGCCATCCAAATGGTCAGGCGTCTCCAAGGACCAAAGATAATTCTCTGAAGAAGGGTGCAAGTGTGAGCAATTAAGAGCAAAGCACAAGAAGTTGGGAGCTGAGCCGACAGAATTGGTTACAAAAGGATCTGAGTGGAAACCAATAGTGTCTGCTAAAGTGACGTGTGCAGCTGAGCCTTAGAACAATTGTCACTTGCTGATTGGTTGTTTTGAGTGTGTCTTCCATTTCTACCCTATGTGCTGGATTCCTTATTCCCTGCTTATAGAATACTTTTTTTCTACAGCATTGCAAACATTACTGCTGTGTTTTATATATTGCAGGTTCAGTTGATGGAGAGAGACAAACTCTATTAATTCCAAGACCAGAAATCCCAAGAGAGGATACACTGACCTTATTTTTCAGCTGCCCAGCTTTGACTCACCTTGTTCAACTGAAGGTCAAGCGGTGGGGTGATGTGTAAGAATATGCCAACTCCCTCCTGGGTGGCTAGAGCACATGTGAGCAGAGGTAGTTCCCAGAAGAAAGGGTTGATGCTGAGCAGTTGGTCCTATGGTTCTAAACTCCACTACCCAGTGTCAACCATGTAGACTCCATATGCTGAGTGGGACCTCTTCCTACTTAGCTCCTTTTTGATACTTAAATTGAGAGAGAAAACACAATTAAAATTAAAATAAAGACTTAATTTCAGAAGTAATAGCATTGTAAATGTAAGTAAGGGGAAAGAAGGCAAAATTTGAATCTATATAATGCTACAGAATACAAAGGATAATTACAATTTTTATTATCTCAAAATAATACACGTGTATATACATGCCCTGTAGATATTAATATTTTTGAAAATATCCCCTCACTTGGTTTTGAAATATTCTACTTTCTGGCATGTGAAATGGCTTGTTAAATAATTATGCATGCCTGTTTGCATGCTTAATTATCAATACAAAATTTTAAAAAGCTCATTTTTTATTCTCTCAGTGGAAAGCAATGGTTCAAATTGCTTTTACTATAAGAAAGTAATGAAATGTAATTTCCACTCCAATGAAAAATAAACAGTGTCTTTCAAAGGGATATATATTTTGTTACTGAAAGAATACTGTCACATTTTAATGGTAACTTAAATTCCTCTCGTAAAGTTTTAATATTTGTAAAATTTGAAGGCTAGAACTCTTTGAAACTAAACTTGTTTATTCTGTACTATTCTAAGCAAAACCCATCATTTAAACCATGCCCAGACAGTGACTGACAATTCAAATTGCCTTTCATAACTTAGATCACTTGCAAAATAGGAATAAAATCAGAAACATATTTTGCAAAATGAGGAATGTTTTCATTATAATGTTCTTCCCTATGGCACTTCAAAAAAGAAAACCAAGCATTTCTGCACTTTAATATGAAGCATTACAAATAATAAATGACATACAATAGCTAGTAGACTCTATTCTATATGAATATTATATGCAATGAATTAATAATACATCATCTATATTATATCATGAATTAAACAGAAGGAGGTAGCTCTCTATGGATACAAGTCTGTCTAAGTGCATGGTTTTGTGTGTTTCCAAAGTTTGGTCAAGTGGCCAAGTCTGCTTATGATTATGCATATTATTACTTGATTTACATAGCAAATGTCTTCTTAAGACACTGTTATGCTTCAATGTTTATAAGATGTAACTTAATTATTTCTTACTAGAGACCTGGTGCAGGAAAATTCCTGCACTTGGGGGTGTGTGTGGGGGTGGTCCTTCAGCCTGGCCTATGTCCTCTTGCAGTCCAGGAACCCTTGGGGGATGTACACCTGCCAGCTTAGGCCTGCTCCCTGGGGGATCGGGCTTAAGCTGGCAGTCAGATATCCTTCTGGCAGCCTAGGAGCCCTTGGGGGATGTCCGACTGCTGGGGCGTGGGCCTAAGCCGCAGTTGGACATCATTAGCACTGCCACGGAGGTGGGAGAGGCTCCCGCTACGAACACTGCGCTCGCAGCCATCAGCCCAGCTTGTGGCTGAGCAGAACTTCCCCTGTAGGAGCGCACTGACCACTAGGGGGCAGCTCCTGCATTGAGTGTCTGCCCCCTGGTGGTCAGTGCGCGTCATAGCGACCAGTCGTTCCACCATTAGGGTCAATTTGCATATTACACTTTTATTATATAGGATTAGAGATAGCCCCATAACCACAAACATGTCTTCTAACTAAAGTTCAGGAAAACCAATGACTTGAGTCTGTGGATTTCTGTAAAACAATCCAATGAACAACCAATAGGTTTTCTTTTCTTTTTTCTTTTTTCAAATATATTTTTATTAATTTCAGAGAGGAAGAGAGGGGGAGAGAGAGATAGAAACATCAGGGATGAGAGAGAATCATTGATCGGCTGCCTCCTACTTGCCCCACACTGGGGATCAAGTCTGCAACCAGAGCATGTGCCCTGATGGGGAATTGAACTGTGACCTCCTGATTCATAGGTAGATAGATGCTTAACAACTGAGCTACACTCGCTGGGCAATAGGTTTTCTTTTATATAAACTTTATTTTTTAGAACAGTTTTAGAAATACAGAAAATTGCAGAGAGTCTCCATATATCCTGTACCCTGTTCCTCTATTCTTAGACTTATTACCTAAGTTTTTCCAAGTAATATTCTTTTCTCAGATATAGAACTAACTTTCAATCCTTGGGGTTACAGGTCTAGGTTTTCTCTCAGCCTTTTCCTGTTTTTTTCCGTACCACAGTGGTTGTGAATTCTTCTTCTATGTCAACACTTAGAAACTCCCGTCTAGCCGAAACCGGTTTGGCTCAGTGGATAGAGCGTCGGCCTGCAGACTGAAAGGTCCCAGGTTCGATTCCGGTCAAGGGCATGTACCTGGGTTGCGGGCACATCCCCAGTAGGGCGTGTGCAGGAGGCAGCTGATCGATGTTTCTCTCTCATCGATGTTTCTAGCTCTCTATCTCTCTCCCTTCCTCTCTGTAAAAAATCAATAAAATATATATTTAAAAAAAAGAAGAAGAAGAAACTCCCATCTAACATTTATTAAGATCCAATATACTCTATATTTAGTAATTGATTAAGAATCAAAAATCCCATTTAAGAAATTGGGGATCTGAAGCGCAGTAGAAACTTCTGATAAGTACAACTGGAAGGGTTTCTTTTTTTATTTATTTCACATTTATGTTCTTTCCACTACACCAGTGGTTCTCAACCTTGGCTGCACATTAGAATCACCTGGGAATCTTTTTAAAATCCCGATTTCTGGGCCTCATCCTCCAGAAATTCTGTTTCTTTGTTATGGGGTGGGGCCACAACATTAGTAACAAAGAAACAGAATTTCTGGAGGATGAGGCCCAGAAATCAGGATTTTAAAAAGATTCCCAGGTGATTCTAATGTGCAGCCAAGGTTGAGAACCACTGCACTACACCATGGTGCTTCAGGCATTTTTATATATTCTATACTGTGACTCTTACTATACCATAGATCAGTGGTTCTCAACCTTCCTAATGCCGCAACCCTTTAATGCAGTTCCTCATGTTGTGGTGACCCCCAACCATAAAATTATTTTCGTTGCTACTTCATAACTGTAATTTTGCTACTGTTATGAATCGTAATGTAAATATCTGATATGCAGGATGTATTTTCATTGTTACAAATTAAACATAATTAAAGCATAGTGATTAATCACAAAAACAATATGTAATTATATATGTGTTTTCCGATGGTCTTAGGCGACCCCTGTGAAAGGGTCGTTCGACCCCCAAAGGGGTTGCGACCCACAGGTTGAGAACCGCTGCCATAGATTGTCGCTATTGCTAGAACAAAGAAGTGCTGACATTATAAAATGGAAATGAATGTTCACTTTAGAGATACTACCTATGTAAAAGGACCAATCCTGGCACTGACCCATTTAGTAATATATTTGGCTACTTATTTAACCTCTCTTATTATAAGCCTGTTTTTTTTTCTTACCTTAACATCTCATTCTTTAAATGGAAGTTGAAAATATTTTAATAAAGGTCAAATAATAAATATTGTAGGCTTTTAAGGGCAGATAATCTTTCTCACAATCCCTGAACTCTGCCATATGAGCAGAAAAGAAGCCATAGAAAACATGTAAGCAAACAGAGGGAATTTTGTGCCTATAAAATCTTTTTTACTGAAATAGATTATGGGCTGAATGTGGTTCATTGGCCATAGTTTGCCTAACCCTGCATTAAACACTGGTGTTGGGCTAAATGAATTTTAAAATTCCATTTTATAGCCTATTCTCTTTACTCAAAAAGAAATATGAATAATGGACATGATTTTAAATCAATCTGCCATATTTCAGCAGAATGGATACGTAGACTATATTATCTAAAATGTCGCTCTGTGTAGAGTAGTTAAGAGTAAGTTCTCTGGATTCAGAACTGCCTGGGTTGAAATCTTAGATCCTTGACTTATGAGTCATGCAAGCATTAGAAAGTACTTTAACTCTCAGTTTTCTCAAAACTCAGTAGGGAATTAAGGCAGTTTTTGTTTGTTTGTTTGTTTGTTTGTTTTTTAAAGCCTGTAGATCCTTTGGCACTTCTTCCATTGAGAATTATGGTCTATGTCTCTTACTCTTAACTTTGACCTCCCTTTATGATGCACTTGTGTTCCATAGACTGCAGTAAACATATTGCTCCATAGGCCAAGGCTGAGTCAGAAAAGGCCATAGAGTCTCCACCTGCTTTTCTCTTGTGCCCTGAGGGAAGCCAGCCCACAGGTGCAAATACCAACTACCCTGAGATCCACATTCACTCCTGTCAACAACAGACCCAGCTGATCTCCCAGCCAACAGCCAGCATCTACTGTCAGCTGTGTTGGAAATCCAGTAAGTTCAGGTAGCAGATGACTGTAGCCACAACTGTTATCTAACTATAATGCATGCAACTCTTCAAGCAAGATTTGCCCTAGTGAGCCCTTACCAAATCCCTACCGACAAAATTGTAAACAAAATAAAATATTTTTTTTTCATGAAAGAGCAGAAACCAAAAGAGATGTGATAGAAGTAATATTCCCTCTTATGCTTGTTATACAAACTCAGTGAGCGAATATGTGTAAAAGTACTTAGAACAATACCTGAGTAAGTATTGTATAGAGTAAGCACTTGTGCAAAAAATTCTAGTTATTATTAATATATTGGTCAATTTCAGCTTCCTAATAGAATGGGAAGCAGTGAATTTTGAGGATAAAATTTAAAACAATAAAAATCACTAAAGTAATGAGAAATATGTAATGGAGTGACTTATCCATCAGGCACAGTGCCTCAAGCCCATGATACTTTTAGGGACATGCAAAAATGTTTTAATTTTAATTTCTTTTAATATCAGAAAGAAAAAAATTTAATAATAGTGAATGCACGATAATCAATGCAGTCTGGATTATATTATTCCTTCTACCAATGTGGTCATAACATTTAAAATATTTTTTACAAAGGAAGGAGCCTACAAAGGCAAGAGTCCCCAGAGTTCACAAAAATCATAATATGTCTCTGAATATGCATAGATTAATCTAAGTTTACAGTGCTCCCTTCGAGTGTCTGGCCTTGATGTTACTCTGAAAATTTTGCTTGTAAATGTGTAATTTTTTTAAAAACTCATCTGCCTCTTTGGGTCTTTCTTCAGTACCCCA